AGTGGCTTAAAGAAGATACAAGTCTGTTTCTGTTTATCTCTCATGTCATAGTCTCAGGGCTAGGAGAGCACTTCAGCCATCCTTATCACAAGATTTCTGTTTCTGGGTCAGAAGTGGTTGCCACGGTTCCTGCCATCATTTCTACAACTGAGCCAGAGGAAAGGGAAAAAAAAAGGCAAGGGAAGTACATACCTTTTCCTTTTTAGGGCACAAACTTGAAATAATATATATCACTTCCAGTCACATCTCATTGGCCCAGAACTTTGTCTTATGGACAGACCTAGATACAAGAGAAGCTGGTAAATTAGCCTCTAATTGAGAAGGCTTGCACCCAGAAAGCATTGAGTTACAGTAAGCAGGTAAGAATAGTTTTTATTGGTAGGAGGTTCTGATTCAGTAATAAATAAATAAACACATTAGTATCAGATGGTCCATGGAGGAAAATTAAGAAAGGTAGGGGAATAAAAAGTATCATGAAGTTGGGGGAGGTAGAAGTGGGCTTGTTATCTTATATAAGCTGCTCAAGGAAGTCCTCAATGACAAGATGGTAAGGTACCCTTTGAGCAGAAACCTAAAAGACATGAGGAAGCCAGTCACGTATCTGGGGAAGAGCCTTTCCAGAAGAGGAAATGGCAAGTACAAAGGCCCTGAGATAGCAGGGCCTTGGCGTTTTCTGGAAGAACAGGGAGACAAGTGTGAGGAAGTGGAGCAAACAAAAGGGAGAGTGGGAAGACAGGAGGTGTACGCCCGCCATCATAAGGATGTGGCCTTCACTCTGAAGCCGTCGTTGGTGCAGGTGGTGGTGGTGGGGGGTGTTCCAATGGGGAGAAGAGTGTGGGAGTAACAGGATCTGACTCATGTTTCAAGTTTACTCCAGCTATTTTGTGGAAAGCAGAGTGAGAGGGTAGATGGCAGAAGCAAGGAGACCAGTCCAAAGGCCGTTGCAAATATCCTGAGGATGTGGCGGTGGCTTAGGGCAAGGGGCAGCAGTGGAAGTGTCAAGGTGTGGTTGGAGACTTGACATATTTTGAGTCAACAATATTTTCTGATAAATCATAGGTGACTAAGAAAAGGCTTATTATTCACTCACCCTATCATAGTCACCTCCCCAGAGAAAATTAATCTCACAGGGAACAAGAAAATCAAATTTCTCTCAAGCTAGGACTATGGTGAACAAAGTTTCAGCAGGTTTGAGATGCTGTGAGCCAAGGACAATGTGACTTGAATTGTTGTGTAGGCAGGAGGGGCAGCCAGAGCTTTTCAATGTAATGACACAAAATCGTCTGTGAGAATAAAATACTTAATGGGACGCCTGGGTGGCTCAGTTGGTTAAGTGTCTGCCTTTGGCTCAGGTCATGATCCCAGGGTCCTGGGATTGAGTCCCGCATCAGGCTCCCTGCTCAGCAGGGAGTCTGCTGCTCCCCCTGCTTGTGCTCTCTCTCTGGCAAATAAATAAATAAAAAATCTTAATTAAAAAAGACAATTTTTAAAAGAGATATATTAAAGTCAAAGGAAAATGTTACAACCTGGATGAGGGGTGCAGAATTAATGATCTCTAGTCACAGAATATAGAATGATGGAGAATTTCATCTACCAAAATCAGAAAAATTGAAAGAGGTTACAGAAAATTGGATAAAATGAAAACTTAAAAATTACCAGAGGACATTTGATATATTGGTTACAAACAATATTCCAGAGGGACCTCATGGGCTTGAGAAGGAGGACACCTATATATCCCCATCACCCATATAGGACTTGGCACATGCAAGTTCTCCTCATGAAATATTCCTGAACCCTCCAGCCAGATGCAACCTATCATTCTCCTTAACTCATAACATTTCCTTCTTACCCCCTCTTTTGGGAATAACACATTTCGCCTTGAATTGTAATTATTTTTATACTGGTGTAATCCCTTCTATTAGATGTATTTACATCTTTTTATCCATCTCATTGTTTTGCTATTATATGTTTGATATATTTATTTGATTACACATGAAAAGAAAACACGCCCTGCTTTTATATTTCAAAAGCTTGTTCATGTTGGCAGTATGGGATCTAGAATTTTTTTATCAAGTTTTCTATTTTTGCCAAATCATATGATGGCTCAGCTATAGTTACAAAATGTAGGAGAAAATCACTATCTAGTAATTCTCCAAAATAGTCTTGTTCCTGCCTCAAATTGACATCCTTTCATAACTCCTACTTTATGCCCCTCAAAGAGATCATATAACACTTCCCAACTGTTGTTCTGTGCTTGAATTATAGTCATCCGAATTTAAGTGCTTTTTTTTTTAAGATTTTTATTTATTTATTTGACAGAGAGACAGCGAGAGAGGAAACACAAGCAGGGGGAGTGGGAGAGGGAGAAGCAGGCTTCCTGCGGAGCAGGGAGCCCGATGTGGGACTCGATCCCAGGACCCTGGGATCATGACCTGACCCGAAGGCAGACGTTTAACGACTGAGCCACCCAGGCACCCCTGAATTTAAGTGTTTTGACTCTTAGATCACTTCTAGGAAATGCACCCAGTTTTAAAATGAGGCATTTGTCTAAAAATTATGACAAGATTAAACTGTCATGTTTGTAAGTGTATATAGATACCACAATCCATTCCCCAGTCCTTGAAATGACTAACCAATCTTAATGACACTTGACCTGACCCAGACCAAGCCCATTTGCAATGCTCACTGGATCTGATATTTAAAGCTCCTTATCTTCATACCACAAACTTTTTTCATCTTCTGGAATGCATCTCCCTCCTCAACCTTGCTTGCAACACTGGAAAAGCAGCATCTAAACTAGGCTGAAAAAGCTCCAGTAGAATCCCATCATTTTGGCCCATGAAGGGAAGCAGTCAAGTGCAGTACTCTATCTGCCCCTCTTAGGAGTTTTTAATCTCCAACAGTTGTTTTAAGTGGGTCAGTAATTATTATAAATGAGTGTTTCAGGTTAAAGGAGCAGGAAAATTTAGGAAAAAGTGGAGGACAAAAAAGCTAATTGGAGTACACGAACTTACCACCTTCAGACCAATTTTCTAGCATTCTCTGGTCTGGGCAATCAGTCAACAAACTTTCACCAAGATGCTATTTTTTTTTTTTTAGATTTTATTTGAGAGAGAGCACGAGAGGGGAGAGGGGCAGAGGAAGAGGGAGGAGAGTGAGAGCATCTCAAGCAGACTCAGCAGCTGAGCACAGAGCCCAACTCAGGGCTTGATCTCACGATCCTGAGATCATGACCTGAGCTGAAGCCAAGAGTCAGTCGCTTAACCAACTGAGCCACCCAGGTGCCCCTGAGATGCTATTTTATAATGGACTTTAGAACAGCCTTTGTGGAAGTTTCTAAGAAGTATTTTTTTAAGAAAGTAAACCCTGTCTTCCATTAGAAGACAAACAAGAACATGTAAAAACAATGAAAAAGAAATTAAGGAAAAAGACTAACCAGTTCACAAAGCTACAGTTAATTGCAGATTCATTGTGCAAGGAACAAAGAAAGCCTTACGAGTTAAAAGGAGAAAGACTATTGTGACCTAGAATGGGATGGGAAGGCTTAGAACGGGCAGGTTGACAGGCTTGGAGTAGTTGCAAGAGCAACAGAAAGTACTACGGTTTAGAAGGGCCACCTAACAAAAGCACAAAGGATGAGAAACTTAAGAGGCATTATAAGACAGTGGGTACTGCATTTTGGCTCTGCTAGAGATCTGAGGAAAACAAGCAATTGAAGGGAAGTTTTGGTGAGATGGCAGAAGGCCTTTAGTTTCAGGATAAGGTGTTGGGGCTTAATCCTTCAGTCATGAGTAATTAATGCTAGCTTTCGATTAGGTGAGCCAGTTGACAGTGCTTTAACAACCTCCAAAGACCATGAGAAATAAGGGTCACTCACTAGTCCTCAGGGAGAAGAGAGCCTTCAGGATCCTAGGGGAGGAGACCAGATGGTGTCTTTGATGGTCCGATAACTTGACGGAGAAGACAGACACCCTGGCCTTTTCACTTATTAACTTTTCCAACTATAAGATGTGCTGCATAATGATTTCTTTTCTTTCACTGGGAAAATAAAATTCTCAGTGAGTCATTCCTCTCGCCAGGGAAAATGACTCAGAAAATCTTCATTTTCCAGTGAAAAAAATCAGACAGCCCATTTTATGTAACTTTAATTGGATGTAAATTTGAACTCTTACATTATAAATAAAATTCATTTTAAGCACAAACTTGTCAAGCAAATTCCTTAACATTTATCAAGAACGGCTTAATTTCAAAGCTTGATAAATGAACTGGAAACTATGATTTTTTTTTCTTTTACCTTAAGGGTACCTTTGGTTTGGTAGAACATTCACCAGCCTCTGTCGGGATTAGTCTTGAGTTATGCAAGTTTGAACTAAGGGGTCTTTAGAAATTCATCCCGTATGTTAGCTGTGGCCATTTGCACATCATGCGCCCCCAAATTTTTTTAATACATCTGAGAACACTAAAAACCACCTATCAAGAAGCTCCAGGAGAGGCACCTGGGAATGTTTAGCAAGCACCAAGGTGGTATTTCCTGGTTATAACCAGGAAACTGTTAGAGAAGACAAGTTCCTTGCCCTGGAGAAGATAATTTTCCTTTGGCGCGTAAGTAATCACAGTAAAACTGCATTCTGCTCGGCTTTTCACCAAGAGCAATTAACATTGACTGGGTGATGGGGTGGAGGGAAGGTTTGGACCCAAATGAGAATTAAATCCAAATCCTCACAGAAGGAAAGTCTGGGCGCTGGGTCTCCCTGCTGCCCGCAAGGACTGAGGTTACAGAGATGAACTCTTGGCCTTGGGGGTTGTCTTATGCATTTTGGTATATTTATCAGCATCCGTGGCCCTTATCCACTAAATGCCAGTTAGCATCCCTCTCCAAGAAAAAACTTTGTCTCCAGGTATTACTAAACGTCCCAAGGGGTGGGAGGCAAAAATCTTTACCTGGTTGAAGGATTGGGCTAGGGAGGAAGTTAAGGATAGATCGAGACTTACACGTAGGCTGACAGACTAAACCATATGGCTTTACTGCGCATCGTTCGTGACAGACACCTAGAAACGTTTAGGAATAGAACATTAAGGCGGTGGGAGTGGGGAACGGAGGGATTTCCATTTGTACACTAAGGTAAACATTCCAGCTCGCTTATTTAAGAAAAACCTTGTGTTGACATTTAGGGGTAGAGAAGTATAACAGCAACACCCACCAAAACCAAAACAAACTTTAAAGTATAGCAAACCTGCTTATTCAGTTACCTGTATCTAAGCTTCCATCTCAGACTCAGTAGAACTAGGTAGAAACCATTTTGAGGACTAGTTTTTTGTTACCAAGAATCGTGCCACTAGGTGACACCACCGGTCTGTAGGAGGTTCCAGATTTTAACAGCCAGGGCAATCTTTATCGCGGTCCTAACTTAGCCCCAAACCCAAATGTTTCCGAGAGCACAGGCCCACCCTACCTAACCAAAAGCCAAATCTTACAGCAAGTGTTTACAGCCGCTTAGTGTGACAAATAAAGTGGCTCTGAAAAGAGCCGTTGGGGTAAAGTAACTGTCCTATTGCGTCCTTTGCGCGCCCTTACTTCGAGCTGGTGTACTTGGTGACCGCCTTGGTGCCCTCGGACACGGCGTGCTTGGCCAGCTCGCCGGGCAGCAGCAGGCGCACGGCCGTCTGGATCTCCCGGGACGTGATGGTCGAGCGCTTGTTGTAATGCGCCAGGCGGGAGGCCTCGCCGGCGATGCGCTCGAAGATGTCGTTGACGAAGGAGTTCATGATGCCCATGGCCTTGGACGAGATGCCGGTGTCCGGATGAACCTGCTTCAACACCTTATACACATAAACAGAGTAGCTCTCCTTGCGGCTGCGCTTGCGCTTCTTACCGTCCTTCTTCTGCACTTTCGTAACAGCCTTCTTGGAGCCCTTCTTGGGAGCAGGAGCCGACTTTGCTGGATCAGGCATTTTTGCAAGAAGAAACGCCACACACCAGAAACGATCCGGACTACTTCCAAAAGGCTTGGTTACCCGCTACTTATAGAGCCTGTATGCAAATGAAGGCTCGCAAGGGACTGCATTTTTATTGGTTAATTTCCAACAATGTCGTCATAAGGGGGTGGAGCCCACATAAATAATAGCTTCGGCTCGCACTTCCTTAGTGGCTAGCAGAGTAAATGTCCTCTTAGCCAATCAAAGTGTTCCATTTCAGGCTAACCAATAAATTCTGTAAAAGCATAGTTTCACCTGTTTGGGGCGTTTGGGGATGGTTTTCATTTTCTCAATTGTAGATTTGTGTACCGAAGAGATCTGAAGGAACAGCTAAAGACAACTTTCTCTTATTTTTGCACCATTTCCCTACGCTTTGTGGAAGTGTTTTGCTTCTGGTTTTAAACCCACATCTCAAAAAAAAAAAAAAAATCAGGTGTTTCCCTCAAATTCCTGTTTGCGCCGCCTATATTATGCAACGAGGAAAGTATTAATTAAGTCATTGCCTATACAACTCCGAAGACGCAGTAGCCAGGAAAAGGCTTCAGTATTTAAACAGGGCCTTACATCCGGCTCAGTTCTTAATTGTAAAATCTGGTTGATAAACCCAGATTCCCATCCCAGACGTTATCACAAGCTGACATGACGGCCTTTCCACTTAATTCCTGTATCTGGGTTCGTGCCAACGTTTTGTACTAGCAGCTTGTAACGTTGCAAACGACTGGCAGAGCAGGGTCCTCCCTCTTGCAAAGTTTTTCTCACAGAAGCTAGGTTGACGCTCCAGACTTTTAGTAACTTAGCATGTAAGAAGCGGGTTTGGCAATAAACGACCTATAAACCGTCTCAGCTGTTCCCTCTAGCGCGCCAGCCGACTAAAGGGTAGACGTTGATTCTATTAGCTCATCACGCAACACGTGCGAGCTCCCCGATCCCTCTTCTCCAGTTCACAGGTGCACGACCGTAGACCCGCGCCCGGCGAGAGACTGTACAGCTGCTCTCCGTGAAAACGTGGATGGCTCTGAAAAGAGCCTTTAGATGGTCTACATAAAAACACTCGGCCTTAAGCCCGCTCCCCGCGGATGCGGCGGGCCAGCTGGATGTCCTTGGGCATGATGGTGACGCGCTTGGCGTGGATGGCGCACAGGTTCGTGTCCTCGAACAGCCCCACCAGGTAGGCCTCGCTCGCCTCCTGCAGCGCCATCACGGCCGAGCTCTGGAAGCGCAGGTCCGTCTTGAAGTCCTGCGCGATCTCGCGCACCAGCCGCTGGAACGGCAGCTTGCGGATCAGCAGCTCGGTGGACTTCTGGTAGCGCCGGATCTCGCGCAGGGCCACGGTGCCCGGCCGGTAGCGGTGCGGCTTCTTCACGCCGCCCGTGGCCGGCGCGCTCTTGCGGGCCGCCTTGGTGGCCAGCTGCTTGCGCGGGGCCTTGCCACCGGTCGACTTGCGGGCGGTCTGCTTCGTGCGAGCCATGATGTCTTACTGGTCAGGCTCGAGGAGTGCTAGGCAGTCTTATTTATAGACATAGCCTTGTCTTGATTGGGCCAGGAGGGGTAGGAACCTCCAGAATGTGATCTCATTGGCTAGAATTCAATCCTATTTACTCGGGTAGATTGTTATGATAATCTTTCCCCCTTATTCACCTTTCCGTACTTTTCTGTAATCTTATCGATCACGGACGTTTTTCTTTTTAGACCTTTCCTTTAAATTGGTGTCATTTTTGTCAGAGCAATTTTTAAAGTGTTTTCGCAAGCTTCGGATTTATATTTTAACAGGTCCCTTCGAAATAAAAGCATGCCTTCCCATGAACTAGGTTTCAGTTGAGAGTTACTATAACTCCAATCCCATAGCTAACATTTATTTAGCGCCTGACACTGTGCTAAGCGCGTTAGTTGCATTACAGTAGTAGTTGAAGGAACCAAAAATTGAATTTACGTTTATCCAAACCACCAACTTGCAGGGCACAGCCTTCCGCCTTTCCTTAGCTTTTCCACCTTGGCCATCAATGGCCAATTAGGTCCTGTAGACGAAATGCTTCTAAGTCAAGGAATATAACACCAGAAACGTTAATTTCTCCTTTACAATGGTGAATAGTTTCTAGATAGTGACTTGCTTATCAGTCAGATTAAAAGCTATAATAAAGTTTCAAAGCAAATAAGTTATTCGTTGATTACTGATTGCTAACATATTTTCTTCAATAAAGTAGTTTCATCTAAAAGTTTCATTTTTTCTATTCTCTATAGGGAAATTGAACATCCTCTGCTTTTTAGTTATTTCCTATGCTTTGAAGTATTGCTCAGAAAATTGCATGTCATAAAACAAGTCATGTAAGGTAATAATGCTTAAAAGTGTGAATAGTTATAAAACTTTTAATCATATGCTCATTCTATGGAAAAAGCATTGCATCCAAACCTCATAAAAACTCAAACCTGTGAACACAAGCAGGCCCAACAAGCTTAAAACTTACTTTATGGTGTCAATATGAATGATCATCTTCCTGCTGAAGGCAAAATAAAAGTTATTTTGGGGGGATTTCCTGAACACCAAACAACCTAGAAACTTATCTTTATATCTTCAAGAGTCCCCATTGGCAGCACAATCTTCTGCTCTAGGGAGACTTATGATGTCCTGCAAAGATATAACTGATGTGAACACCTGTCACCCCTTCCTGTGGTTGTTTTGTAATACTAACATAGAGAGCCCAACTCAGTATTTAAAAATTCTACATACACTCTCTCATTTAATCCCAACTCTGTGAAATAGACGTTACTTTCTTCATTTCACAGATAAAGAAACAGAGTCTCAGAGAAATTATGGCTTGTCCCAGACAAGTAACAAGGCCTGCATAATATCCTAAAGCAAAGGAATGAAATTATAATGGATTTCCAGTTTCATCAGGCTTGGGACACATTTTAAGGCACTGAAGAATTTTCTCATCATGCAATCAAATTCCTCAATCTTTCTCAAACTCCTCCACTGAGCTCTTTGCCATCGGAAGAGGAAACTACCATACAGGGGTCTGGATGGCAGCCCAAAGCAGCCCACACGGGCGTCACATTTCTTTGCGGTGTTCTTTTTTAATATATGCATTCTTGGCCATGGCATGCATTTAGGTAAGAAAAAGATCCTCAAGCTGTTGTTGGGGAGGAAAAACTTTGCTCTACCTCTCAAGCTTTTTTTTTTTGGCTGATCTAAGAATTAAATCGACATGAGACCAATTAACAGGAGAAAATCCTATAAGAATATGAGGCCCCCCAGGCAGTCAGGAAATTGAAGTTTATATGCTATCCATAGCTAAGAAAGAGATCAATCGGGACCTGGGACTACAAAGGGAAGGAAGACCATTACAAGAAGATAAAATGAGTAAGCGTTTGGTAAACAAATGTTGGCTGGGCCACTCAGAAACAACGGGGTATAGAAAGGAATTTCAGCAAACAGACTTTGCTGGGTTCCTCCCTGTCTACCACACCTAGGTCATATTGTACGGTAGTTATCTATGGTGATCTTTCCCTTCCTAGAGCAGATCCTCTATCTGAATTCTCTTAAACTGTTAGGAAGGAGGCAAAAAGAAAAACTTCTTTGAGTCTTCTGTTTCTTAAAAATAATCAGCCTAAAATAATCCACATGCCAAAGTAACACCTTTTGGGGGAGCAAATGTATATTCATATAGAATCCAACAGTCGGGCGCCTGGGTGGCTCAGTTGGTTAAGCGACTGCCTTCAGCTCAGGTCATGATCCTGGAGTCCCAGGATCGAGTCCCGCATCGGGCTCCCTGCTCAGGGAGGAGCCTGCTTCTCCCTCTGACCCTCCCCCATCTCATGTACTCTCTCTCATTCTCGCTCTCTCAAATAAATAAATAAATCTTAAAAAAAAAAAAAGAATCCAACAGTCATGGGATCTATTTTACCTTTATAATATAGAGAATAAGAAAATTCTAAGAGTCTTCTTCTGGCTATCCTCAGAATAGAACAAGTTGTTATTTGCAGATACCAAGGGCAGGCATGAAGATTATTTTGAGTTTAAAGAGCAATCAAAACCCAGCAGATTGAAGAAAAGCTCTTTACAAAGACTCCCCCGCATCTGCCTGAAAAGAATTGAGATAGAGGACCTGCTCCAGAAAGAGAGCTATCACCATGGATAACTACATTTACCATGAACTAGGTCTGGTAGACACGGAGGAACCTAGCAAGGCCTGTTTGATCAAAGTCCTCTGTGTCCCATTGTTTCTGAGTGGCCCAGCACACATGTGTTTACCAAACATGTACTCTTTTTCAGCTTCCTGTGAATTGCATTTCTTCCTTTTGAAGTCCCAGGCCCTACTCCTTCTCCTTAGTTCATTTTAACTGTCTTTGGAATTTCCATGTCTGTGTGGATTCCTTGTACATACAGAATTAAATTTTATTTTCTCCTGTTAATCTGTCTCATGTCAATTTGATTCTTAGTCTAGGTAGAAGGACCTTGAAGGGGACAGGAAATTCTTGCTCCCCAACACTTAGAAGTCACCTTTAATAACAGAATTCAGATCCATAATCGTTTGATTTCACCTAGTCTCCACATTGGACAATGGAGTGCTTCTGTGAGTGTTCTCAATACACTACTCTATCAGAAGTAAATTGATAATGCAGAAGAACCTCTGCTTTGCTGCTGCTGTGGGGAAAAGGGAGTATTTTTCTCCTACTAATATCTCTGAAGTTTCCTTCACCAGAAATAATAAGATTTGCAGTTTCCAGATTGAGCCCTGAAGTTTCATTATTTAGTGCTGGGGGGTGGGGGCAGGGGGAGAGCACAGGAACGCAGCCTAACATTTGCCACAGGAAATAAGCAGGTAAAAGAAAAATATAATGTTTTGTATGTGCATGTGTTTGTTTTTAATATAAAAGTAATGGACTAAATTATATGTTCCAGGAAGACAGTTTGTGTTCAGTCTCTGACTGTAGGCACCCCCGAGGCTTCAAATGCCCTCAAGATGAGACTGGATCTCTGGTTTGTGGGTTGGGCAGGCCATGTGCCTGATTGCCTTTCATCTTCTTCTTTTTTTTTAATTTTTAATTCCAGTGCAGTTTAACCTACAGAGTTATATTCGTTTCAGGTGTACAGTATAGAGATTCAATACTTCCATACATTGCTCGGTGCCCATTAAGATGAGGGTCCTCTTAATCCCCTTCATCTCTTTCACCCAGCCCCACCCCTTTCTGGTCACCTTCAGTTTCTTCTCTTTACTTAAGGGTCTGTTTTTGGTTTGTCTTGCTCTCTTTTCTTTCTTCGTTCTTTTGTTTTCTTAAATTCCACATATAAGTGAAATGATTGCCTTTCATCTTAAGTGGTCAATAGCACTGGACCAAATTCAGAAGCAGTGGGCTTTTGAGCTTCTTTCCTTAACTTCATTCTGAGATAAAGCCATTCCCTCAACAACTTGCTCATTGGATAAAAACTTCCCCCTTTTACGTTAACACTATTCCTTGTCCCGTACAATGAAGGGTGGCATAAGGGAGGAAAAAGTTTTCCGCAGTCCTCTTAGGGTCCCTGGCTGGGTGTGAAAATTAAACCAACAAAGAGCAACAGCGGAAGAGCACACAAATTTACTTAATATAAGTTTTATGTGATGCAGGAAAATTCATAAGGAAATGAAGATCCAAAGAAACAGTTTGACCTGAGTATTTTTATGCTAGGTGTGATGAAGTGTGGGCACTCCTGTAAAATGCAGTAGGTTAAGGAGTATGCGGTAAGTCTAATAAGCCAGGCCTGTTTGTTAGGATTCTTCTGTAGGTCCCTTTGTCTTTAGAGATGAAGATATTCCTTTCCTCCTCATCTATCCCTCTAGTCATATAGAGAAGGCACAAGAAGCTTTTATGACCTGTTTCAAGGGAGAAGGCTTTGGGGGGAAGGTTAGAGTAATCTTCCTGCTTATGTCCCTTTCTCAAGATTAAAATATTTAATATGCCAAGGTGCCATATTTTGGGGTAGCATGTCCCAAATCCCATCAGTGATAGAACATACCACCCCTAAATTATGCCATTTGGCACAGGGATTATTTTGAGCTAAAAACAGCAGGTGTAGGGGCGCCTGGGTGGCTCAGTTGGTTAAGCGGCTGCCTTCAGCTCAGGTCATGATCCCAGGGTCCCCGGAATCGAGCCCCGCATCGGGCTCCCTGCTCGGCGGGGAGCCTGCCTCTCCCTCTCCCTCTGCCTGCCTCTCTGCCTACCTGTTCTCTCTATCTCTCTGTCAAATAAATAAATAAAAATATTTTAAAAAAAGAGAAAGAAAACAGCAGGTGCAAGAAGTGTGCTCTGACCTCTGTTTCTTTCCTAAAAACAGGAGACAAAACCCCCATATGGAAGATGTTTTCCTTACACCAGGAGGAAAATAACATTCTTTTCACTGAGGATGGGGAGTTGAAGCCAAGAGAAATCTGCACAAAGAAACCTTTGTTAAACTAACCCTTATCTTCCTAGTTATTTCTCCACCATTAACTGCCCTAG